TTGTTTTGTCTGTTTACGTAAATTAAAACTCATTGAAAACAGGAAGCCACTTGGTATCAGTTATGGTGGGTGTCTGTGACCAGGCAGGTATGTGGTGGTTTTCTGGTGCAGAACTGGGAGTGCAGAAGTCTGGCTCACTGGGAGTGCAACTCTCATCACAATAGATAAGATAATTATGCATTTAGCAAAAGCTAAGTCCGAAGAACTTACAGAGACTAGGGAAGGACAGAGTACTTCAGTCTGATGTCTCACCAAAGGATAGAGTACAAGGAGGTCTGGGGCTGAATAGGAAAATGTTTTGTAACTTTGACCTTTGACCTTAATCACTAGACACCATACTGCACCAATATTGTGCTACGGCAAAAACAAATATTCATGAAATAAAAGAAGCACCTTCTACAGCCTAATTTGATCGGTCCAATCCTCTCCTACAAAGGGCTCCAAATGAGTGGAGGCGATTTGGCTCATTTCCTAATTAAAGGCTAATTGAACCGAGCAGCCAATTTTCCTGAATGAAGCAATGGGACCAACCCCAACAACATGGCTGGGTATTTCTGCCACACATCTACACTTCTTGGGTGAAGATGTGCCTCCTGTTCTCCTGTAGTTTCCACTCGTGTCCTCTGGTTCGTGTTTCGTTGTTGAAACTTGGGGGGTTCACTGGGTTGGCTGCGTCAGAGGCCTTAGGAATTTTGAATACTTGAATCTTTTAGTCTTCGCTTTTCAAGACCCTTCCCATCAGAGCACACCCCGAAGTCCTGGAATGTGCTGGGAATTTATGTGTTTTTGACACGTCATTTCTGCGGACCCTCTTCAGCTCCGACTCCGGATCGGAGCAGAGCCCACACACAGTGGGGTTCAGGGGGGTTTGTGGCAGGTGACTGACACTCCTCTATCTGGCAGCTGAATTCGGCACCAAACAGCAAGAAAACAAAAGTAAAAAATAATACAGGAACTACGCAGGAAAGCAAAATTACCCTTTTCTTTGGTTTCACAGTGATCATTTTCAGGAAGGAGAAACGTACACTTCATTTAACTTCTGCGCCGCTTAAGCTGGTATTGAATGTTCAGTTTTGTTCGTGATTCTCTTTGAAACATGTTCCATGTTTTGAGCCAGTCGCTGCTGCGTCAGGCCAACTGCTAACCTCGATCTTGAACGTTCCTTCTGGCCTCTTCTGGGATCGCTGTGATTTGTCTTTACTGCCAGTCAATTAGGCTTTTGTAATGTGAACCAGAATGCATGGACACTGAAGTTGCGATTTCCTAATTATTCTGTCCGTCGTCCCAGGGATGAAGCTAAGCTCTGGTTTTTATATTGCGGTTGCAGTATAATTTCACTTTGGTTTCTTTCCTTTAGGAGAACAGCCCTGCTGAATCTGCTCAAAGTCAACAAATCATTTGATTTGGACTTTTTCCCCCCAGATCATTCCAGTTTATTACCATAAGTAAGTGGTCTTTAGGTAGAGTAACATACAGTACATACTGCATTCTTCAAATTGATAGACATAAAGACCAATTTTGTATTTACTTCTATTACATTACAGTTTATAATTGTACTACCTTACAGTATTAGTACTATAGTTCATTAAAATGAACTCCGTCTGCTTATTTTTTTTTTTCAAACTCTAGTTCCTGCCCTTGATAAAAATAGTCAATCGTGATATCTTTTAACATTCCAGTAGGGAGCTGAGTCAGCATGCTCAGGCTGCAAAGGAACAGGTAAAGGTTCATTCCATGCTGAAAGTAAGGGAAAAAACACAACGTTTCGGTTGTGGAGCCTTCTTCAAGTGTGGTAGCTTATGGTTGAATTTGGTAATCTGCTAGTGTGGTTCAGTTAATCTCATGACTGTGTGTCCACAGAACTGGGTGACTCCAAGGCCACATTGAGTGCTGTGCTGACAGACTGAACGCAGAATGGGACAAATGTTAGCTAAGACAACCCTCAAGATACATTCAGAACTGTAGCCTTTCCCTCTGTCCCTGACACTGAATAACACAGTAAGTCCTCTGGCTTAACCTGCTGATTTGTGAAACCCAGCCAGCGTATCAACTTCAACATCAAGGCTAGGTAGCTCGTTCCATACTCCTACCACCCTTTGTGTACAGGGATGCCCATTGTTGTGAGTTCTAAATGTTCTTCCCTGTAGTTTCCATTTGAGTCCACCAGTTATAAGGACATAAGTGAAACACTGACCAGTCTATACAGTATCTACCACATGTTTAATCACTCTCAGGAAGATGATTTCAAGTCATACAAAAGTCATAAAAAATAGGAACTACATACATTGCATATATTTTCTTCACTGAGGATTTTGTAAAAAGTACAGTGGTCTAATGAAGGAACATGCAGAAAATCTGCCACATTTTACAGCACTTTCCTTGTCATTGATCATGAAGTAGTTATTATTGTGTCATGGATTGTGAATCTATTTGGATTTCATTGGCTGAATAATGATTACACTGAAATTGATCTGTCATACACATTGCTGGACTGTTTGCATAAACTGGTTACTAAATCATTGTGTTTAGTCTCCACGTGTTAGTTAAATATTTTAAATTGGCCTTGTACATGCCAATCAGAAAACGTGTTTTAGAAATAAAATAAAAATGTGCTGTAGAGCATTAATCAAGAACCAGCTATCCATACTTTCCTCGGGTGTCAACCTAGAAGAGCAGGGAAATGTGATTTTGAAATGCATTTAAACTCCTCAACTACACAGCATACAGGCCCTAGAGAAATCAACCACATGTGTCCACACACAAAACTGCAATACTCAGACATTGAAATAAAATAAACTTATTTTTGCTTAATTTGTGGAATTTGGCATAAGCATTTTACTGGTGTCTCTTCTACATAAATGCTGCACTGCTGTAAGATTCCAACATGGAAAAAGAAAAAGTTTTCTTATATATTTCTCTCATTTCCAGATAGAAATTACAGGGGCAAAATATTAAAACACAGGCACGTGAAAGAACAATAAAAAAGCTTGTGAAAAATGATTCCATTTCACAACCGTGAAAGTGTGCAATTCTTCTTCAGCAATTTCCCTTAATGAAAAAATAAATACATGCCACTTTTGGTTTTGGATCTGAGTTTTTAAATTTAAACTGTTCAATATTATGCACAATATCGCTCCATGGCATTATTAGTTCCATACTGTGTAAACAAGCCCTGGAAGGCAACTCAGACCAAAATTTCACACAGTCATCATCTTTCACTGAATGATATTCATATTCTGTAGCCCGTAGGAACATTCCTCAGGAGGCTTAAAAGAAATGCACGCAGTTGGAACTAGGAGAACAACCAAAAAAAACAAACTGAACTCTTTAAGGTTGTGTAAATGAACAGAAATCCAATTTGTGTTGCTCTTACAATGAGACCAACCCTGCATTTTCACTACATTTCAACTCCATTTCCAGGTAGTTCATGGTATTTCTTTTGGAACGGTTTCGTGTCCTGATAAAAGATTCCACCTGAATGGTCAAAAATGAAGCATTTTCCTATAATTCCCTTCTCCTATCCAAATTCAGCAGGATGGTAATTAACCCCACTTCAGATCTTTCAGGGTTGTGTTTTTAACTGGACATGCCAGATGTCTTCGGTTTCATGTAAATTTAATGGCTACTAGAAACATTTTTTGAAATTGGGTTTGTATAAATACAGGAGGATTTTAGGAGCAAATAAAAAATAAACTTAAAATAGATTTTTGCACAGTTCCAGTGGTAAATGAATGAACCGTACTTTCAGTGAAAATAGTTATTCTTGTAGATGACGTTTAATGCGGAAAAGTGAAAAAAAAACTATGAAGGGTCTTAATTCAAATATTCAGAATCAAAGACATTGACAAAGTCTACCCAGTGTAATTCTTCAAATTGGGAAACATGAACCAGAGGACACTAGTGGAAACTACAAGGAAGGAAAATGTAAAACTGATAACAGGAGGCTAGAATAAGCTACTGTACCAAGCCATGTTGTAGAATCTGATACTCTGGTATCTTTCAATAAACAGCTGGATTCGATCATTGGAACAATTAGCAAATAGCAGTCACACAGGATAGACTGACTATGTTACCTCTTTTGTAATTGAAATCCTTATGTTTTTGTGTCCTCATCCGGAGAGATGTTTCATGATCTGTCTGGATCGGTCTGTCATGTTGTCTCTAGTGTTTACGGTTTAACTTGGTGATCTTGAGATAAGTAGTATTAACACTTATAATAAAAATAATAATAATAATTTCCTTCTATTTATATATCATGTTTCTGGACACTCCACTCAAAGGGCTTCACAGATAATGGGGACTCCACTCCACCAATGCGCAGCCCCACCTGGATGATGCAACAGCAGCCAAGGTGCACCAGCATGCTCACCACACACCAGCT